TACATATTGTTACTTCTCCTCGTGAATGTGGGGGTCTAGGTCTCTTCTATACTAACGATTTTATTATAGGTTTAAAAGTGTCACTTATAGGAAAAGTTATCGATCCTAATTTCCAACATGCCTGGAAAAATATTATCATCAATCAGCTTTTACACCCAAATATACCAACTGTGTGTATAGAAAACTGTCTCACATTAAAGAATACTGGTTTTACCTTTAACCTACTTCGCCATTATAAGCTTTGGAAGTCTATTTCTTCACAGTCAAGTAACAGTACAGTCAACCACTGTGTGTGGGGAAGCGACGTAATAACGGACATTGGCTCCAAGCTCTGGAACGATATTCTTATTGATAGAAATATCATCTATCTTTCTGATTTCGTTTCAGAGGAAGGTAACCTCTTAAGTTTCCAGCAATTTCTGAGAAAGTGGGGCCAAACAAGTAGTATAATCTCTTCGACTCAATATGCGAGTATAAAATTGGGAATACGTCGATTTAATAATACCGATACGTTTACAAGTAACATTACATTTATCGATACCCAACTTTCACTTCGCTTTTGGAGAGGTAGGAATACCCCCAACTCTAGAGATACTCCTCTCACTATCAAAGGTAGAAACATTAGAGATACCATGTCTAAACGTCTAGATCCCAGCACCCTTCCTCCAATGAGGAACTGGAGTGCTAACCTCTCCTTAACGGATATTGATTGGATTAGTATTTTTACGGATATTTTTACTTCTTTCTCAAATAACTTCAAACTTATTCAGTACCAATATAAGCTCCTTCACCGGATTAGTACTTGTCGGTACATGAGATATAAAATGAAGATTGAAAAAGATAGTCCAAATTGCTCGTTATGTAATCACAACCTCGAAACTATCTCTCACATATTTATTGACTGTCCAGCCACAAGCTCTTTCCTACAGGGAGTAAATCTGTTTATTAGATCGAATATTGACGCAAATTATGACGACCCATATCGCCACTATTTGATTTGCTTAAATCACAGAGATAAAAGTGTTAACTTCATAAATTCGGTTTGCTGTTGGTTTATTGGAAGGAGTTTCCAGAACAAGGAACCCCTATTCTGGGAGCGATATCTTAAACATCTTAAGCTTTTCTTATTAGGTGAAAAACCGGATATTATACGGTGCCTTAAAGACGTTATACCTTGATGACCATTTTATACCCAAAGTTCTGGATCCACTATACACTCTTGTTTATTTATTTTCTCGAAAATTCAGCCGTGCCTTACCTTTACCATTTATTTCACAAGTTGTAGCTAGTGGAGTTATCTCCACTACTAGTATTGATATAGAGTCACATTTAAAACCAGTAGTATCTCTCCTTTTTCTCTCCATCTTATGTGCAATTTATTACTCTATATCCACTGACTTTATTCGACGTATTATCTAAAAGAATAAAAAAAATGTGTGCGTGTGTTTTTATATTTATTTTGCTACGGCGCATGTGAAACCCCAGGGCATCCAGCACCGGAGAAGCTGAAATGACACTCTCTGAACCCTTGGTGCCGCTCAGATTTTGCCTCTTGGCTGGTAAGCCGAGTCATGATCGATTAACTCAGCTTCTTCGGTACAACACAGACCGGAGGGTACTATTAGCCGCTTTGCCGGTGGTATCCTCCTGGTGTCCTGGGGTTTGGCAGGTTCCTCATTAAAAAAAAAAATAAAAAAAAAAAAAAAAAAAAAAAGAGCTCGTGTGTTTAAATTCTTGTCTATGCCATTAGTTGCCACATAACGATAGCCATACGTATAAGAGCTATACGTTGATGATAAAGAGACGGATACAGGTGTTATCTCGTTATCTACTGCAGGTAAAATGTAACCTGAAATATAACCACGATAGATTATATAGTGTTTTAGCGATTAGAAATAGTACTTGCAGTTTCTATAATTATAGCTATAATTGATGTGATTGTCACATATATCCTATTAATTCTGGTCAATATCGTATGCAAACAGTCAGTAGAAATGACTTTATAGAACAGTAAATAATGATTTCTGTTGTAAGGTGGTGCAATAAAACATTTACCTTGAATGGGTAAACACAAAAGAGCCGTTAAGATAATTGTTGTTATCTTCATGATAGGCTGGTCGCTACATATTATACATTTTTACTGGAATGTTCAGATCAGCTAATTGCTTTAAGTTGAACGTTTACAAAATTTTTAAGAATCCAACTGAAACGTTACAAAATGCTACGAATCTTAGACAGATTTACAATTTTGAGACGGACGAGTATAAATTCCTTTGAGATTCTAAATGATGATATTGAGTCAAAGGTCAGAAAAATGTGATAAAGCTATGGTAACTCGGCAAGTTCCTGAAATACGTTGCAACTAAAGTTCTTAAAAGACACGATCTAGGCGAGACTTTTCTGCGAGATTCTAAAACAAAACCTTCTTCGTGTAGTACGACAAAAAAATAATAATTTCGCATTTCTGAACATGTCATCAGAGAATTAAATCTACGTCACCACCGTAAAAATGTAAAAGTTAAGTTCACTAAAATTCCATGTGGATGACAATGTTTATTTTATCTTACTGCTCATTGTTTCACGTTGACGGCTTCAACGAGAGTAATTATTGTAAGTTATTACCAAGTATCGACGAGGATAGTTTTTAATTGTGTAATATTCTCAGGAATCGTTTAAGTTTGATGACACTATATATGTTTACATAAACCATTTTGTTTGAAGATGACGTTTGGCCAATTTGTAACAAGCCTGAGTGTTCATATAACTAGTAATTTAGTAAGTAAAATATACTAAGAACGTCCGGGAGGGGGGTCTTCAAAATTTGGGGGGAGGGGGGCTTCAAAATTAGGGGGTCTTCAAAATTAGGGGAGGGGGGTCTGAAAATCCGGGATATTGGCGGACGTCCTCAGTAGATGTCCTCTAAACGGATATGGATTGAACAAATACCCATGTAACTAGACCTCTTCACTGTTTTAATGATATAAATGGCATGAAATATTTTGCAGCACAAACTGCTCTCTGCATACAATTACAAATTGAAGCGAAATTTGATTGTATCAGTACAATAAACCTTTTTTACCCGAACACGCCTTTGGAAAATCGAAATACTACTCATTTGTAATATAGCACTACAAATTATTTGAGCTGTTAGCACATAAAAATACCTTATCGGACCCTATTTGGCCGGACATTAAATGAACAGACATAATTATGAACGAAAATTAAAATGAACCAATTTTTTCATCTTTTTTGTGGCGTTTTTAAAATTTTAGCAGATAATATGTAAATTAATTTTTCGTACAATGAGCAAGAAAGGCAGTCGTTAAGCAGTAAAAAATGTAGAAATATCTGTAGATCTGTGTCTATGATAAATGATTATGAAAGTTGTGTAAAAACAACAGATACGAAATAATACCAGATTTGATGATCATATCACAGGTCATCTTCCTCAAATGGGTTATCGTGCATATATGCATTCCATGGAATATATATGTTCCATGCTTAAAGCATCATATGAGTAATACCTGGTTTTTGAAAACAATTTTCTGTTTGACCACCTCGGTCCTGCATTTCAGTGTAAACTTTTACAAGATGTGGAGGTAAACAATATCTCTGAGGAAGTAAACGAGGAAGCCAAAGATCAAGAAAGTGATCATGACGTAATGTGATACTTAGGATATTTAAATTGCATAATAACTCGTTTTTCATTGATCCAATTCCAATGATATAGTTTAGTCCGAATCCGATGATAGAAATTACAATTGACTGAAATTAAAAAATTTTCATCTCCTAAACATGAGTTCGCAGTGGAATAATTTTGGAAAAAATCTCAACGGACTTTAAGTTTAACTTGGACTAACCTTAAACGGACGGACTTTATTTGAACAGACATTAAGATGAACGCTAGGACCTCCAGCGTTTAATTAATGTCCGTTCAAATAAGGTCCGATAAGGTAGTTAGACAGTAAGGCTAGATAAAAGATAATATTTAAACATGAACAGATTCAGATCTTGAAGACTCCTGCAATGCTTTTAATATTGTACTTTGCTCTTTTAACTAACTCTTTTACATTGAATGTTGTATCTAGCAGCTCCTCAACTTATACCGCTAAACTCACAGTCTCAAAGTAGAAGCACAGATTCTGTGCTTCTACTTTGAAAATGCTAGATTATGCTGAAATATGCAGAAAATGACAAAATGTGCGGAAAACAATAAATTATGCGGAAATGTGCGGAAAACAATAAATTATGCGGAAATGTGCGGAAAACAATAAATTATGCGGAAATGTGCGGAAAACAATAAATTATGCGGAAATGTGCGGAAAACGGTAAATTGTGCGATCCCGCAACCATCGCACCTAATATGTGCCTCTGGCACAGAAGATTGCGTCTGCAACATTTTTTAAACAATTCCTTTATATGATTTGAATTAGAACATTGTGGAGAATGGAGGTGAGATAAAAATGTGTCCACGACCATAACTCAAAAAGTACATTGCAAGATTACTGTTAGCGTTTAAAGAACATACCATAAACGTTTAGATTGACAGTGGTATCAGAGAAGTTGGAATCAGGTAAAGATCCGGAAGTGACTCTGCAAGTGTAGGCAGTATCTTCGTTGACAAGAGTTCCGTCTACAGCAAGAGTTGATGTCTGTGTCCCTGCATAGTGGCTTCCTTGGACAGGGGCGAACTTTTCAGCTGGAACCGGTCCTGTACTAGTTCGCCAGGTCACTGCTGCTGTTTCTGTTATGCCAGTGATGATACACGAAATCGTTGCGTAAGAGCCTTTTTTCACTTCTGTGTTCACTGATTCAACGTCTGAAATGAGTTTTGGTACATTTACAAATTCTACAATTTATAACCGACGGATCATCAAAATTATTCCTTTATCTGATTTGAATTAGAATATTTTGGAAAATCGAGGTGAGATAGACATTTGTCCACGACTATAACTCAAAAATTACATTTCAAGATTACTGTTAGCGTTTAAAGAACATACCATAAACGTTTAGATTGACAGTGGTATCAGAGAACTTGGAATCAGGTAATGATCCGGAAGTGACTCTGCAAGTGTAGGCAGTATCTTCGTTGACTAGAGTTCCGTCTACAGCAAGGGTTGATGCATGTGTTCCATCAGAGTTACTTCCTTGGGTAGGGACGAGCTTATCGCCTGGAACTGGTCCTGTACTTGTTCGCCAGGTCACTGCTGCTGTTTCTGTTATGCCAGTGATGATACACGAAATCGTTGCGTAAGAGCCTTTCTTCACGTCTGTGTTAACTGATTCAACGTCTGAAGTGAGTTTTGGTACATTTACAAATTCTACAAATTCTATAATTTATAACCAACGGTTCATCAATTCAATTCCTTTTACTGATGTGAATCGGAATATGGAGGAAGGATAGAAATTTGTTCATGAATCGAAAAATAGATTGCACAATTACTGTTAGCGTTTAATGAACATACCATAAACGTTTAGATTGACAGTGGTATCAGAGAAGTTGAAATCAGGTAAAGATCTCAAAGTGACTCTGCAAGTGTAGGCAGTATCTTCGTTGACAAGAGTTCCGTCTACAGCAAGAGTTGATGTCTGTGTCCCTGCAGAGTGTCTTCCTTGGACAGTGGTGAACTTTTCAGCTGGAACTGGTCCTGTACTAGTTCGCCAGGTCACTGCTGCTGTTTCTGTTATGCCAGTGATGATACACGAAATCGTTGCGTAAGAGCCTTTCTTCATTTCTGTGTTAACTGATTCAACGTCTGAAATGAGTTTTGGTACATTTACAAATTCCACAAATTCTACAATTGATATCCGACGGATCATGAAATCATTTCCTTAATCTGATGTGAATTGGAATATGGAGGAAGGATAGAAATTTGTTCATGAATCGAAAAGTAGATTGTAAGATAACTGTTAGTGTTTAATGAACAGACCATAAACGTTTAGATTGGCAGTGGTATCAGAGGAGTTGGAATCAGGTAAAGATCCGGAAGTGACTCTGCAAGTGTAGGCAGTATCTTCGTTGACGAGAGTTCCGTCTACAGCAAGAGTTGATGTCTGTGTCCCTGCAGAGTTACTTCCTTGGACAGTGGTGAACTTTTCAGCTGGAACTGGTCCTGTACTAGTTCGCCAGGTCACTGCTGCTGTTTCTGTTATGCCAGTGATGATACACGAAATCGTTGCGTAAGAGCCTTTCTTCATTTCTGTGTTAACTGATTCAACGTCTGAAATGAGTTTTGGTACATTTACAAATTCCACAAATTCTACAATTGATATCCGACGGATCATGAAATCATTTCCTTAATCTGATGTGAATTGGAATATGGAGGAAGGATAGAAATTTGTTCATGAATCGAAAAGTAGATTGTAAGATAACTGTTAGTGTTTAAAGAACATACCATAAACGTTTAGATTGACAATGGTATCAGAGAAGTTGGAATCAGGTAAAGATCCGGAAGTGACTCTGCAAGTGTAGGCAGTATCTTCGTTGACGAGAGTTCCGTCTACAGCAAGAGTTGATGTCTGTGTCCCACCAGAGTTACTTCCTTTGGTAGGGACGAGCTTATCGCCTGGAACTGGTCCTGTACTAGTTCGCCAGGTCACTGCTGCTGTTTCTGTTATGCCAGTGATGATACACGAAATCGTTGCGTAAGAGCCTTTCTTCACTTCTGTGTTTACTGATTCAACGTCTGAAATGAGTTTTGGTATATTTACAAATTTTACAATTTATAACTGACGGATCATCAAAACATTTCCTTGATCTGATTTGAATTGGAATATGGAGATTGAAGGTGAGAAAGAAATTACTGTTTGCGTTTAAAGAACATACCATAAACGTTTAGATTGACAGTGGTATCAGAGAAGTTGGAATCAGGTAAAGATCCGGAAGTGACTCTGCAAGTGTAGGCAGTATCTTCGTTGACTAGAGTTCCGTCTACAGCAAGAGTTGATGTCTGTGTCCCATCAGAGTTACTTCCTTGTGTAGGGACGAGCTTATCGCCTGAAACTGGTCCTGTACTAGTTCGCCAGGTCACTGTTGCTCTTTCTGTTATGTCAGTGATGATACACGAAATCGTTGCGTAAGAGCCTTTCTTCACTTCTGTGTTAACTGATTCAACGGCTGAAGTGAGTTTTGGTACATTTACAAATTCTACAATTTTATAACCAATGGATCATCAAAACAATTCCATTAACTGATTTGGATTAGAATATGGAGATTTTGCAACGCCATCAACCGAAGGAAAAGTAATTTATAACTATACCGCTAAAATCGCACTTATAGCTTTACCACGGCTTAATATAACCATAATTAGTTAATGCTATGATAAAGATTTGAGTCTTTTATATAGAAGATGGGGTAAAAGCATTCATTTATGAATCAATTTTTGCATCAATATCTTATGAACACAATATTTCAAAAAGCTTTTGTGTCAACTTTTTTAGAATGGTGGAAAATTATAAATAGAAATTAGTCTATGATATAAAATTGTACCTAGACTGATGAGTACTATATCTCTTCCGATGATAACTATCTCACGTAAGTGGACATAGCTATTAGAACCCCCTCTAATAACCACTGTGTCTCCAATCTTACAATCAGAAGGAACGTTGTCAGGTACTGTTCCATCCTCAGAGTACACTGACACGGGCCACCAAGTGGGAAAGTGAGTGCAGTAGTGACCACTTATACAGGTACACGCATCTCTCGAGCATGCGTGCTTGTTATACGTGTGATAATCATGATAGATGTAATGATGCACCTCCTCTACACAGTAAGTCTTTCCTAGCTTAGCTTTAAACCAGGGGTCATGTTCAGTTGACGTATGAGCTAATGTGTTAGTATCCTTGTCTATGCCTTTAGTTGCCACATAACTAGAGCTATGCGTTGATGACATAGAGACGGATACAGGTGTTATCTCGTTATCTACTGCAGGTAAAATGTCACCTGAAATATAACCAAGATAGATTATATAGTGTTTTAGCACTTAGTAATAATACTTGCAGTTTCTATAATTATAGCTATAATTGATTTGATTGTCACAAATAGCATATTAATTCTGGTCGATATCATAATATGCAAACAGTCAGTAGAAATGACTTAGAACAGGAAATAGTGATTTTTGTTGTAAGGTGGTGCAATACAATTATTTACCTTGAATGGGTAAACACAAAAGAGCCGTTAAGATAATTGTTGTTATCTTCATGATAGGCTGGTCGCTACATATACTCATATACATTTTTACTGGAATGTTCAGATCAGCTAATTGCTTTAAGTTGAACGTTTACACAATTTTAAGAATCCAACTGAAACGTTACAAAATGCTACGAATCTTAGACAGATTTATAATTTTGAGACGGACGAGTGTAAATTCCTTTGAGATTCTAAATGGTAATATCGAGTCAAAGGTCAGAAAAATGTGATAAAGCGATGGTAACTCGGCAAGTTCCTGAAATACGTTGTAACTAAAGTAGTTAAAAGACACGATCTAGGTGAGACTTTTCCGCGAGATTCTAAAACAAAACCTTCTTCGTGTAGTACAACAAAAAAATAATAATTTCGCATTTCTGAACATGTCATCAGAGAATTAAATCTACGTCACCACCGTAAAAATGTAAAAGTAAGGTTCACTAAAATTCCATGTGGATGACAATGTTTATTTTATCTTACTGCTCATTGTTTCACGTTGACGGCTTCAACGAGAGTAGTTATTGTAAGTTATTACCAAGTATCAACGAGGATAGTTTTTAATTGTGTAATATTCTCAGGAATCGTTTAAGTTTGATGACACGATATATGTTTACATAAACCATTTTGTTTGAAGATGACGTTTGGCCAATTTGTAACAAGCCTGAGTGTTCATATAACTAGTAAGTAAAATCTACTAAAGTACTAAGGGCGTCCGGAAGGGATTATTCAAAATTTGGGGAGGGGGGCTTAAAAATAGGGGGTCTTCAAAATTAGGGGGGGGGGGGGGGGGGGGGGGGGGGGGTGAGGGGGGGTCTGAAAATCCGAGATATTGGCGGACGTCCTCAGTAGATGTCCTCTAAACAGATATGGATTGGACAAGTACCCATGTAACTAGACCTCTTCACTGTTTTAATGATATAAATGGCATGAAATAAATTATGCAGCACAAACTGCTCCCTGCATACAAATTAAAGCGAGATTTGATTGTATCAGTGCAATAAACCTCTTTTATCCGAACACAACTCCCCAATCCCCATTTTTAACTGATTTGTACTTCGCCTTTGGAAAATCGAAATACTACTCATTTGTATAATATAGCACTACAAATTATTTGAGCTGTTAGCACATTCACATACCTTATCGGACCTTATTTGACCGGACATTAAATGAACGGACATAATTATGAACGGACATTAAAATGAACGCTCAAGGTCATTCAAAACCATCAAAAATCCAAATTATTTCATCTATTTTTTGGTGTTTTTAAAATTTTAGCAGATAATATGAAAATTATTTGGTCATACAATGAGCAAGAAAGGCAGTCGTTAAAAGCAGTAAAAAATGTAAAAATATCTGTAGATCAGTGTCTATGATCATGAAAGTTGTGTAAAAACAACAGATACGAAATATGACCAGATTTGATGATCATATCACAGGTCATCTTCCTCAATATGGGCTATCGTGCATTAAATATTCCATGCTTAAAGCATCATATCATTATCAGTAATACCTACTTTTTGAAAACAATTTTTTATTTGACCACCTCGGTCCTGCATTTCAGTGTAAACTTTTACAAGATGTGGAGGTAAATAATAACTCTGAGGAAGTGAACGAGGAAGCCGAAGATCAAGAAAGTGATCATGACGTAATGTGATACTTAGAATATTTAAATTGTATAATGACTCGTTTTTCATCGATCCAGTGATATAGTTTAGTCCGAATCCTATGATAGAAATTACGATTGACTGAAATTTAAAAGTTGTCATATCCTAAACATGAGTTCGCAGTGGAATAATTGTTAAAAAAATCTCAACGGACATTAAGATGAACGCTAGGACCTCCCGCGTTCAATTAATGTCCGTTCAAATAAGGTCCGATAAGGTAGTTAGACAGTAAGGCTAGATAAAATATATTATTTTAACATGAACAGATTCAGACATTGAAGACAACTGCGAGCTCCAAGAGCTTTTAATATTGTACTTTGCTCTTTTAACTAACTCTTTTACATTGAATGTTGTATCTAGCAGCTCCTCAACTTATACCGCTAGACTCACAGTCTCAAAGTAGAAGCACAGAAGATTGCGTCTGAGAGCAGGGCGTGCAGAAAGCTGTGTCCATGGTACGATAACTTGGTTACATATTGTCAGGGTTGCTATGAGAGCGTGACAGGGTTACTATGACAACATATGAAAGCGTGACAGCTGGTCGCCCGGTGACCTCACAGCTTCTATCTAGCTGATAACAATCTGTTATCACGTGTTACATATCCTCCATGTCAGTTTATCTTATCTTAATCATTGCTTCTTCGATCTTCTTAGTCTAGTTTGTGTCTGGTAGCTGAAAAAAGAACACCCTCAAACGTGTTAATGACACGTGATAACGCGCAAATTGCACGTGATAACGTAATAGTCTCGTCTCAGATCGAGTTTAAGCGGAGAGGTGCTAATCATATGATTTGAAGCTGTCAAACACCATGCAAACTAACCCACCCTCGGCTAATAAAGTGCCATCCTAAACTTACCGTCTACGTTGAAAATGCGGTTCCCTCTCCCCTCAATCCTGGCACCTCATTGGCAGATGACTCCCACGTGTGTTGTCATAGCAACCACGTGACAAGACTGCCAGGTCCTGATGGGTGGGTGTGACTCTGTGTATGATGGGTGTTTGACAGGTGAGAGGTCCTGGTACTCGGGGGATCTCCTGCTTACTGGGTACATATTCTGATATTACACGCGTTTATTTATGCGCTTTCAGTTCGCACCATGAGAAGAGGAGGGGTATCTACATGATAACAATTAAAAGTGACAGGACCTCATTATACAGTCAATGGTTGTCGTGGGATCTCCAGGGATTGTCGGCCCGATCTTTGAATGATATCCTGCCACGTTTGGTTTGTCACAGGATATGTTTAAACTAAATAACTTCAGACCCCGCTGTTTAACGTAAATTTGACACTATATCCGCACTTTGTTTCACCTCAGCGTCCGTTTGTCCTGGCTCTGATGGGTTTATCAGTATTATAGTTCCAGATTAGTTACAGTGTATTAGTTAAGTAGTTATAGTCCCATTATAATTTATAATTATCACGTGACTTGAAGTTCACCTGAATTGCAGTACTCGTGTAACCAGGACAACTAGAGTGTACATTCAGAATATTTAAAACACCTGTCATGAGTCCAGGGGAAGTGAGCTTAACCACTGAGAACAAGTTCTTACATCATCTGACTTCAGCAGAACAAGCTGACACGTTTGAGAGAAGTTTAAAAAGCGGTTAGAGACCGGTGTGGTGTAACAGTAGACTGATTGTACTGCGATCAAATTACTGCAGCTCACCACCTGTATAATATCATGATTATTATTTGTTGCAGCTCCCCCCTCCCGACTCCTACAAGTGCTATTTGTCAGCGAGTTATACCTGCTGTGCCTGCTCATATTTGGTCAACTTCTGTCAGCTTGTATCCCCTCTTTAGCAGTTCAATTATAGACCTGTTGAAAGAACGAGTTCACTTTCCGGACAGCCGTCCTTTTCGTTTGCCACATTTCAAATATGGAGCATGTGCATTGCATGCGGAGTTGTTACATTTTAACCACCGTGTTACATTGTGTTTGGATACATTTTTTGGGTTGTCACGCTGTTTAATTCGCTGTAAATCTCGATAATATACCGCGAAGGAATACGATATAGTGCAGTAACTGTGCCGCTCAATACTATTATAGTGATCACCAGAGAATAATCTAAACCAAATAACTACAATTGTATAGTTCATTGTTTGGCAGACTGACACTATTGTCAGCCGGTCATCAACTTCAGCTCGTCTGCACTTTTGTTGTCAATAGGGAAATTCTTTGCTTAATTATTCAGCTGATTAGATCGTTTTGGGATCTATTCTCTTGGACTCTCGGGCGATTTTGCGTATCGTTACAATTGTATTGGCCACTCCTTCTGCTGTTTCATTAAAAAAGTGTATGCCTGGACGACGATAGACAACCTTTTTCGGCGTTCTTTCATTCTTTTCGACGTTAGAACTTAGAAGACTTTCTTCTTATGATTATAATTAATTGAATTAACTGAGACTTCGAAAATAACAAATCTGTACAAACACAGTCGTTCATAAAAACGTTTATACCTGAACAAAGATAGACAAAAACCTTTTTTCGGCGTTTTTTCTTTGTTTCCGACGTTAGAAGACTTCTGATAATAATTCTTTTAACTGAAACTTTACAAATTATAAATCTCTATAAACACAATTGTTCTTATGATTGAGCTTCTCCACGACCGATGTTCTGACGTTGTCAAGCCATACAAATCAATAGAGTCGAATGTTTTTCATTAGAAGTGCCCCTTTAGTATGTCGTTTACCGACAACTCTTTGCCTGACAACCGTCTCGTTTTTTCGTTAAGATAACCAAATGTTCATCAACCAAAGCCGGCATCTGCTGACCACAATAAAGGATACTGATAATTAACTGGTCCTACTTTTGGACTTCTTGTGGGGGGAAGTGTCCGCGGGTCCTTAGTTCATGTTTCTTGTTTCAGAGTCGTGTCTAATACCGGGCTTTGTGTAGTTTCCTCTAGTTCCAAAGAGTACAAATCCCCGAACGCATCGTAGAAGTGCTCGTGAACCAGCTGATCTAAACAGTCGAGTTGATCTAAAGTTTCCGAGTAGTGTGAATTAGAGAATTGTAACCCGAGGGTGGGTTGTTGGACCACTACCAACTCCACGTGCGGATCTGGGCTACTCATCTGTATGTAAAGAGTATTATCAATCATTAGGCAAACTTAAACTTTGTTTTAGTAATTCAGAAATAGAAAATCCGTTACTTAGTTGACCCGATTATACGGTTCTTAGGATAAGGGGAATCGTCATTTAAAATCTGGGATTGAGTAGGAAATGTTTATTTGGGCTGAAATTGCTGCACTCAGAAATTCGACTTTTAAAACATTACACTAAACAGTGGGGCCCTTTTACAACATTACACTACACAGTGGGGCCCTTTTACAACATTACACTAAACAGTGGGGCCCTTTTACAACATTACACTACACAGTGGGGCCCTTTTACAACATTACACTAGACAGTGGGGCCCGATCGCGTAAAATCGGGGGTATATTTTGTTAAAGTATTACAACTACAAGTGAAAGAGTATCTAACAAAAGCCGCTCCAGAAAATGAGGAAGGTATGTCTTCTCGTTCACCTGATCAGTAGTATTTCCTTCTTGCTTGGATCTGTAGACGCTCAGCGACCCTGTCCTGACGACACCCTAGACGACACAATACGAAACTTCATAAGGTAAGATGACAAGCCGTTAATTGAGGTTGATAATTATACATTTGGTAATTTTGATTGGCTGTTATATTAATATATTCTATCAGAGTCGTTAATTTAATCTGATCATATAGGTAATTAATGATCAATATAAATCTGATTATATTGAGGTATTTTTGATGGCGTCCGTGGAATTTGACGGGAGATTAGTGTATCTCGTAATTGTGGCTGAAGGTCAAAAAATTTAGTTTTTTGTACTGTAAATTTTTGTGCTGTTCCACGTCCTCACATTTGTCGAGTATTCTGACAAAAATAAGTTTTAGGGCTTCTTGTTCTAATTAAATTCAATGCATCCACTTAATAATGGTTGATATCTCGGATTGTGACTCAATGACTGCTATGATACTTACAATGCACAATGCAACATATCTGTAGATTGTGCCAATCCAATTACACAATTAAAGAATCAACTCCATATAAATTTATAAAATATTGGCTTCCAATTCCTGGAGGTATCTTGCCCTTATCTAAGAAACCTTTTAGGGCTCATGTGTCCTTAATTGGCAATATCTCGAGGAAAAACCTCAATCGCATTACTTAGTCGGTAAAGTTCAAGGTATGTTCAGGGTTTAGTAAGGGTCACGGGGGGCCACTTATTTGGCTTTTCTAGGTCAAGGTGTTTGAGATAATTCTCAGAAGTGAAAATGTAACAGTTTTTAAAAGAGCGGAAACACGAGGGTAACAAGTTTTTGAAGAAAACTGTTTCAGTCTTAAAGTCCTAGAATGTGGGTGGAACGAATTATTCACTACCTTATCGGACATAATTGTCACGGACATTAATTTCACGCTGAAGATCTTAGCGTGAATAATTTTGTTCGTGAAAATAATGTCTGCGGCATTAAGGTCCGTGAATATTAAAGTCCGGTAATTATTTTCATTAATTTTAATGTGTGTGTCCTTACAGTTACATATACGTAGATATGTGTGTCGTCAATTGCTATATTAGCTTATTTATATCAGTATACTAAGACAAATATAACCAGTCCTCAGTCACATTCACTCTGTATTCAATTTACATAACAGTCAGTTAAAGTACTTAAGTTCACCATGATCATTGATCACTAACTTTGATTCTAGAGTTCAAAAAAAGAGTAAACCACTTAATAAAAAATCACCAAAAGTTTTTACAATTTTTGGGCGGTAATGATCGTGAATAATTATGTCCGTAAAAAATTTGGTTAGTGAAAAACTTGTCCCTTACATCTATTTAGATAAATAGTCATTCCAAATTAGAAATTATCACATTAATGGGATTGTTAATGGATCGTATACGATCACCTCACCTACCGTAATATGCGTATCACATCACCTACCGTAATATGCGTATCACATCACCTAACGTAATACTGTAATATACGGATCACTCCGAAAACGTATCAGATCCTTCTTCTCTTCTTGACACCAGTTACTCGTGAACCAAGCATTCCCGATCCCACTACCAGGAGATCGGGTCCTTCAATGGAGCGGTGTCAAACCTTGTTATTATTAGGAGGCATGGTTCACTGGTGGAGTATAAATTGTGAGTCAGCTTTGAACAGAAGCATCAAGTTATCTTAATTATTATTTTCTCAACAGCAATAACAACTTCAAGAACTTTCCCATTTACAATGGAATCCCTCATCTACCCTACTTACCAAGATTATACCACTGTTGATGATCTGCCAGATCCTGTACCTGTTAGCCCTTTCTACTGCTCCTGGTCTATCCCTCTCTCCTTCGACTTCTCCTTCCCGGAACTGGAACTTCCTTCCTCCTGTCAGTATCTAGTTAACTCCTCTCCAGGATTGGCTACTATTCCAGCTTTAGAGACTTTTACTGGATCAGTATGTCAGGACTCTCTTCCAACTCTCCCAAAGCTCACCCACTTCCCAGATACTCTAAAAGTGGACATCTCACTGCCGGCTACTACTATCCACGGTCCTACACCACCTCCTTCACCGCTCCCTACTCCAGTTCCATCACCTACAGGACTATCCGATCAATCTGTTACTGCACAGTGTCTTTACGACGAGGGACAGTACGATGACGTCTTGTCCTATCTGGAAACAACATACTTCCCATCCTCAGATCACTCCTTCCTCCAGAACATTTACTATTGCTCTCTCTACGAGCTCTTCAAGATCTCCTCTGGTAAACAGCACCTCATTCCCTCTCAGAAGTACAGACTGAGGAAGACCAACCCTCTCCCCTCATCCATCTCAGCTGTGAAGTTCAAAAGTAACAACCAGTTTGACGACAAGGTTAAATCCCTGCTCCTTGCCGTGTTCAAGAGGGAGAGGACCCCTTCCCAGGAGACTATCCAGATGTTGACCGAGAATACCGGACTGAGCGAGAAGCAGATCAGAAACTTCTTCAAGAACAAGAGATCCAGGGGATGAAGATTATTTTGTTGAAATTTTGTGTGTACATACTTTGTTTGATAACGATTTAATAAACTGAAGTTTGCAAAAATACAAAAACTGTTTTTACGTGTTTAAAGAATAAATTATATCAGTCCAAATTATAATACGTTTGTATCTGTTTGTATTCTATTAATTGATAATGGCGATTTAAAACTAGATTTCTACGACCGGAATTGTATTGTCATTTTATCAAGAATGTAGTTAGACCCCTTTTAAAACTAACATAATGCTGACATATCTTCTACCGTTAAAAAGTTAAAAGTTTAGTCTGTATCCTGGTCAAAATATGTAGTTAGTGTTAGATTAGTTTGCAGCAATATATGGAATATTGGTTTGTCTTACAAAACTGATTTGGCATCAATGACTAATCTCAATTGGTACTTACTTACTCAATTAATAAAACAAATATTTAATAAAACAAATATTTTGTTTACGGCGCAATCAAACAATATCAATAATAAATAAATCAGGGGAGGTTTGAAGAGGTTTCAAGTGCAGAAGGCCACTGCTTATCTTTAGGATTTGAGAGTGACCTGTGCTATATTGTATTATTGTATAATAAGTACCATCCACTACGTTATACTTGTTATGCAAATATAGAAAAATATAATTATCTAAGCTAAAATTGCTTATTGGTCTAGTTTGGTGACATAGGAGAGCCCAGTTGAGTTTTAGTTTAGGTTTAGGTTTTAAATCATAGTTTGAAAGGTTAGCCATGTTTCATGGCAGAGAGAGATATCATGTGCAGAGCCGTACCGGATGTAGAATTTGAGATATAATATAGATTAGTTACCATATATTAGGGTAACCTCGATTTTGGAGGGATAGCAAGTGCTTTTTAAGGTTAGATTTAATAATACCCGACGAGGCTGATAAGTCTGAATTTTTTTTAATTGGTGGAAGCGTATAATAATCTTGCTAACCTAGAATCAGCTAATCAGTTGGGCTATCCTAAGGTAAGTAAGGGAATAAAGTTTGAAAACACAGCATAAGACTCTTTCAAATAAGTTGAACTTTGAAAATAATCAAAACATTCAAGTTTTAGTAATAGTATTATAAATCAGTAATGATTTCCTTTAACAGCTGACACCGCCCCTAGAATAAGATTCTATAATTGTTTTGAAAGATATTTTGATGGCTGATCACAGCAACTGACAAAAATAATGTAGATTTTAAATTGATACAAGTTTGGACGGTGGGAATTGTAACCGGAAAGGTTACCTTTAGTCAAGAATTTAGGTCATGGATCACTTTAAAACTAACGGCACTGAAAAGTCTTCCACCGTTAAAAGCATAAACTTTTGGAGACGCACGCCGACACCCGACAATATCCTTGACTGGTCAAATGGCTTGAATTAAGTCAGTATGAGTCATATCTACAACATTATCCATCTCACGAAACAACTTTAGCTCATGCAGCAATGAAGCAACATGACCTATAGCTAATGCAGCCCCCGTTTAGATTTTGGAACGTCACTAACTGTCCTCGTGATCTTGTAAACTTTACGAAATTACGCCGAGAATAGAATTTATCAGGCAACTATATCTTATCGAAAATAAACTTGTCAAACCTTGCTTTCATATTTCTGTCATATCGGTGATCTAACCACATATAAGGTCAACTACCTGACTTATATAGAGTTACCATGACATAACGAAAAAGTTGGAAGGTTTAAACCGAGCTTTAACTGTCATACGTCAGTGAAAGAAGCCACACAAGTCCCTAACTCCACTGGGACATGAACCCCGCAGAGTCGGTAGACTTGTATGATATACAGGGCTTTTTAGACCTCTGTCAGAGGAACCGGAGAAGAGGGAATCTTGAGCGTCTGGGAGGTTAACCGTAGAAGCCATGTCTTACTTACTATACTGATAGTTAGACTTCCTTTTAGGTCTTCTAACTTGGTTTGTAAACTTTGTTTGTCAAAAAATGGATGGAAAAATGATTGGGGATTATGCCGCGCGGGAGTGTAAGTGACTCAGTGACAATCGGTGTTAATAACAAAACTTATTATACTTTAAAGCTTTTAGGGCTACATGTCGTCAGCAGTGGTGTGTTTCACATGAAAGTGAGCTCTGCCCGAGTAACAGACCGCTTCCGAGCTCCTAGTTGGGATGTTTTTAAAACTTACTAACATATCCTAACTAACATCGAGTCAATCGGCTAAAACAGAAAACCGCTAGCCAAAGAGATCCCAGACAATGTCTAATGAAAATTCAGCCGAATCTGGTGTTTGAAATCATTTGATTAAATTATTGGGTGTCTCCACCCTTCGTCTAGTTTGAATATTAATCTGTAAAAGAGCGTACGTCAAACTTAGCTTCAGAAGAAAATTCTTAGAGTTTACAAAAGTATTTTTATCGAATCCAGATTTTCCATCCTGAGCATTTGTAAAAAGTATTATAACCCGTCTGCCCAAAGTTTACCGGTCAAATACATTTCCTGACAAAACCTTTTCCGGTCCTTTATACTTTCTCCGGAGGAGGCAAGAATGGTTAAGGTCGAACCGGAAAACTTACGGCAGATTTGGTAGTGCTGCCATATAATTTTAAAGGTATAAACGCTACACTACTACTGCTACTACTACACTGCGGAGATTGGTTATTAAAACACAATGTAATATTCCCATCTTTAAGAGTACTGTGAGAAATTATTCGGCGTTACGACTAAGAGTTAATGTTTTGTTGATGGGACCACGAAAAATAGCTCCGTCTGGCAACACGTGTTTTTCAAGATTTGTAAGCCAAAATACATGCTGATGTTATAATGAAAGGTTTCTTCCCAGGACATTTCCCTCTAGAAACATTGTTTAAGTGCGGGCTGGGTCGTGGGAGGGAGGGAAATGTTAACCTAACTGTAGAATGTAGATTGTAGACAGCTCGACAAGTAAAACATGTTCGTCTTCAGGAGAATTTACAGGTCAGACGCCTCCCGGATACTTGGGATAGAAGAGATCGAAACTGAATCCCTCGACTTGTTTGCCAGTTGTGTGGCACGAAACGACTGTTTGGACTTGACAACCAGTTTGGGATCCATCAAGCTGTATGTATAATTATATTGAGTTTCTGGGGGTATGTTTTGCATAATTTCCAATTTAAAAGAGAATAAAATCAAATTCAGTACTCTTGTTAATAAATGGTGAATTTAATATTTAATCCTTGTTTTAATCCTAACACTGTCTTGTTTTAATCCTTGTTATAACCCTAAAACAATCTTTTTTAATCTTGTTATAACCCTAACACAATATTTTAAAATCTTGTTATAATCCTAACACTATCTTGTTTTAATGTTTTGATTAATTATAATGCTAACACAATCCTTATTACCACATTATTCTGCTATAATCATGGTTTTGATTCTAACACAATCCTTATTTCCTCATTATTCTGCTATAATCATGGCTTTATTCTAACACAATCCTTATTTCCTCATTATTCGACTATAATCATGGTTTTGATTCTAACACAATCCTTTTTTATACTGGGGTGGGAGATAAGTGCAAGTATTATGGAATACTCGTGTATCTGTACACATATGGTACACACTTAAGCACTTCACTCCAAGGGTAGTCTAAATATTGCATATTTTTGTATGATTTTGTTGGGTGGTGTGTATTTGCGAATAGAGCTCAAACTTCGCATCTGAATTAGTGAACAAGCATATCGGAAAAATCAACAACAAATAACACAATCAACAAAAAATAACACAATCCTTGTTTACAATCTTGTAACAATCCTTATTATAATTCTCGCTTAAAACACATTTCCAAAGGTCTATACCCATTGCGTATAGATCCGTCCTTTCAGGTACCACCTACAATAAAACTTCGGGAACAGGTTCAAAACACAATACCACTCATTACACCCCTCCCTGCACAACTCTTTGTGTTTTCTTGCCTTCTGACTGGTACCTATTAGTCGGCTTGGAAACATAAACACAACAAATTAAAATACCCACTTAAAACCCATTTATCTCCCTTAACAGCCCTTTTAGCTGCCCCGCCTATTATTGGTTGGTATATAATCTGAACGTGTGAAATTCCCCTCGAAAAACTAGTATTTTAATTTTATCGGAAGGGACCATGTACCACTTTACACTTCCAGCCTGTCACCGAGGGAGCCCCAAATCCCTTTATTATACCCTTTGATATAGCAGTAACACGTGATATGAACTCCGTTTGACTAGCCCGGAAATCAGCGATAAGAACACTCCCAGATTTCACCCAACCATCCTGAACACGAATTTATCAACCCACATGACTTGCGTGAGATGACACAATTGCCAATTGCCATGTGTAGAATTACACGTTATAATCACGTGACCTGTGTAGAATGACCCGTAACCATGGTCACGTGGTAACCATGGTCACGTGGTAACCATGGTCACGTGGTAACCATGGTCACGTGGTAACCATCGGTCACGTGGTAGTTATGATTGGTCACGTGTTACCTATGATTGCACACGACCAATAAACCTCTTCTCCTCGACAGGTAGTCAGTTTTAACATCCCGGGAGATTACAGCTCTAACTCGGGGGATGCCGGGGTGAGTTATTTGATGGGAAATTTTAATTATCATTATTATTATACGGGGTCCCACCGTGGGTTTGACAAAACAAAATCGATATCTTCAGCGGACCGTTGGCTTTGTTTTAGCGAGGATAATTAATAAACTAATTGGAATTTCCTGGTTACCGAATTTAATAAATCTGTACGAACACAGAGGTAGCCCTGGAAACATAAATATTAGACCCCTAATCACTCAGACCTTCACATTTCATCGAATAAAAAGCGTCCTAAATATTTAAAGTATTTATCATAACACCTCTCAGTACACGGGTAGACTGGACGTGCAATGCCGGTCCGGACACTGGCTACTGACCAGATCAAACCAAGAGCCCTATCTCCGGGAAGCTGAGGGGGTTTGCGCCCAGTGTGATGTAAGGGCTCACAAACCCTGCACGCGTGAGTCATCTACTTCCGCTCATTTACCTTATCAACTTAAACCTCTAAATAAAAAAACAATATAAATACTTCTAATTATGACACTTTTAATGCTCTCTAGAGGAGGGAGGGATCCAAATTGTTTTGTACCGGTGTTCTATTGAAGTTGTGATCTATCTCGCTCCATCCTCATCTCTTCCTAGAATTCACATCTCAATTTCTATCAGTATTCAGCAATTGCGGCTGGAGAGATAGTATGGATTGCAGTACATGCTGGTCATTAGTCATGTGCAAACTAATAATTTGTCATTAAAAAAGCCAAGTCGCTATTTTTTATTGCCGAAGTGCCGAAAAAACTCTGTATCTCGAATTAGAATGATTAGTTTGAGCAAACGAGTAAGTATTTGTCGGACATCGTCATCATTTTTCCTACGATATTAAGCTGTAACATTTTATTGTAAACATGATAGTATAAGCGCTCAAATCTTTCTTTTAGCGTCTCTACAATGGCAGGTCTACAAGTTAGACCTGCTATTGTAGAAGTTCTTTAGTATATATTCAACCAATGACCTTGGTACAGTGATCCCTGGTACACATAATACAGTGACACTGTGTGCTCGCTTTGCTAAGTATCTCTTTAACTGTAATAGAGTAATAGCAGCGAGAATGGGAACATGTTCATTTCCTTTGTGTGCTAGTTATAGGTTACAGTGTTGTTCTATTGGCCCTGAAATGGCGTTAGTTTAAAATCGGCCAAATTTTTGTCACCAAATTGCATTTTGAAGGTTTATATTTCCATAACAATTAGCACTGGTCGCAATTCAATATTCATAAAGTCGGTATCATGATATAGTGAACTTTAAAACGAGTTTAAAACGAGTCTACACCTCCACGGAGCCTCCCCTACCCTAATCTGACATAATTGTTGACTGGAAAAATGTCATAGCCATAATTGTTGGCTGAGAAAAAAAGTCCATCTAGTAATTATGATATTAAGATAGTTTGCTGCAGTATGATAATTTTAACTTGGGTAGCATAACTATTGAGCTAAAGTTTGATCAATGATCATGTGAATAAGATTACTTGAGCTCCCCAGAACCCATAAGTTTGCAAGGTATTTGTAGGTACATTGTTGGAAGATTCCGTAATCGCTGTCGTAAGGAAGCCATAAAAGTCAGCTTCAGGTTACTGGCCGGAACCAATCGAGCATTACAGTTTCTGATAAGGTGTTAAATGGAAATGAAGCATGGGTTAGATTGGCTGTCAGAAACCTGCCTCAGATCCCCCACTCCCTGAAAGTTACAGACAGTGTCGTTTCTCCTCGTTGGTGTTTTGTTCCAGCCAATTTTCAGGCCTGATGAACATGTCTTCCAGTTTAATTTTACTGCGTTTCAATTATTTGTCAGCTAAATAATATACATTGCCTGCTTCTAGATGCTTATTTACACCGCATAATTATTCAGCAATTTGAATCGACTATTATTGTACTATTATTGTATTTGTCAGCCGTGATTTATAGATTTTCCCTCCAAGAAAATTAGACAAATTCAGCATTTCTTTCCGCTCAGCTGGTATGTGTAATTCCCTAGATCAGCGCCGTTTATAGACCGTCCTTCACAGCTAGTGAATCCTGTTCAATCCGTAAAACTCGTTACTCAGCCATGAATGGAGATTGTCCAGCAGTAATAAATTCATTTCAAGCCGATCACTAGTAAGCTGGAGCAGTGTTAGACCAATAAACCAGCGAGGTGGGGTAGCCGGGGAGTTAGTGTTGACATTATTTCAGGTATTGGGTTTAGTTATGTTCACTATACTTCTAACCACTCAATCTTATTATGTAATCATTATGGGAAATATGCAATTAAATACAAACTCAGAAAGTGTGCATGATACATGTCAAATTGTCAACTTACTAAAGATCATGTCATAAACATCTGGCTTATCAATGGACAAGGTCATTTGTTCCTGCCAAAATTCCTAGCCTGCACACAAGTGATTAGTTTATGAAGTGTCAGTCCGTTTTCATTCCATAACGTCTGGCCATGTAATTTGATTGCCCTTTCTAAACCGATTTGAATTCATTTTAGCCACCCTCTCGTGAGTAGATTACAGAGTTGCTACTGAGCCGATGTTCGCTGAGCTCCAATCCAGCTTGACATAATCAGTGAACACTCCGACTGTACAGAACTCATCTTAGTTGCTGTCGTTGATACCTTTTGCTTTGAAACGCTTCACTTTATCAACACTTTTTGCGTCAACTTTTAAAACTTTTAACAGCTTTCCAAGCTTTCTCCAGTTGAACCCACTGCTAGGGTTTCGCTGGTAACTTTGCAACACGGAGTGACACAGCACCGAGCCGGGCTCACGTTTGATCCTACCTTTGTGGGGAGCATGCCAAGTTGGCTGGTACTATGATGGCTCTCTCATTATCACGCTGTTAGCCACTAGATATCATCATTGCTGATATCCCGCGCGCACCATACGTTTCTCTTCTCATTTCACCCCCGTAAAAACCACAACACTATACCTGATCTTGTATCTAATTATTTAGCATAGGTTGACAAGCTGGTTGTGGTACATCTGTCGTCGGAAACGGAACGTAAGGTCTCTTTCAGGCCAGTTTAACAAGCCAGGAGTTGTGTTTAACTGAGTCAGAGTTTAACTTTATCCGCGGATCAGCTAATTGTTAAGGTACAGCCGGGGGGATACCACAAAATACTGCCCTCTCCTCTTATCAGTTCACTGCCAGACTGTATTTCTGTTTCGTCGTAATTGGATCATTCCACTGCTGCTGAGTATGACGTTTCGTTGTCTTTTACCCGTGGTTTTCCTCCTCTCTAGAGGTGATTATCAAATCTTTCACACTTCATTAATTTTAACGAGATCTGTCCCTTTATGTGCAATTCGTTTAGTTGCAATTGATATGGTTATTAACTTAGTTAATTAAGTTCGTTGAAGTTGAAGACTTACTTTCCTCTTTTATAAAGCCCCTGAAATATTTAAATGATCCCAGCCTAGCTCCACATAGAGTGACACAGCAATAAACCCCGAGCAAATACCCTTTTATTTCAGCCTGCCTCCTATCTTGTGAATCTAACGAAATCCCTTTGGCGGACTGCACAGACTGCGAAGAAAAAGAGTTCAAGACTCAGATAGTCACGTACAGTCAGCCTGCTTGGAAGGAACATGTTAGAGCTTCGACAGACACGACCAAGAAACCTGATTCACAACAGGTTTGCAATAATATAGTTTATCAGGATGATATATATACATATCACCGGAGACTCGCGGGCGGAACAAAATATTGCACGCGCACGCGCGTGCAATATTTCATATGTCCCCGAGGGCGCTAGCCCGAGGAGGACATATTTTCGTATAGCACGGAGGGCCCATCGGGCCCGAGTGCTATACGATTTTTCCGCCCGCAGGTCGAGGTGATGTGGATTATATCCACCAGCGGGCGTATTACAGTTAATATATAATTTTATAAATAAACAATGGAGCTTGTATAAAAGTCAACTCTAGAAAAGGTCACCACTAATTGTTGTAACCATGGTAACACGTCACTTGTTCAATGTAAGCCAATCATAAAGGGGTGTGTCGTATATAGGGGCTGGAGATGCACTGCATTCCTGGGCCGTGGGAATAATGAATGTAATGTCAGTGACGATGAATATCAATAATATAGGGTGACCGATTATAGTGCTGATGTGTATTATTATATGTAGCGTGTTATAATAACTTTGATATAAATCAAAGTATCATGTCATCTGCTCACGAGCTGCATGACCCTACCGGACACAAAAATAAAATGTATATATAGTCAGTGTAATAAGGAATTTCACAAGGAGACGATACAGAAACTGAAAATATTTTAGAGAACTCCGGGCTATATTGCTACTGGTCAAATTAAATGTCACTTGTTAACGGGCTATATCATGAGCGGGCTGTAAAGATATCGGGCCCTTTTACAGCGGGCTGGTGAGAGCCCGCTATGCGAAAAAGCGCACGCTGGTGGATATAAAACATGGCGCTTTTTTATTGCGTAAATCGGCTTTATTATGAAATTCCTGTGCTTTATTGTTCGACAAATAGTTCGACAATGTATTTGTTCGCGTAGGTTATAGTTAAACACAAAGATATGCACAAATTATTGGGCTATATATTTCAGCTACACTCGACAATAATCGTCGGTACAACAAATGTAGTGACACACGGGGGTGAGATCCCAGAAGAGGAAGATGCCACTACAGGAGAAGGTATCGAGACTGTTAAGCCTACAACTAAAGGATACACCACACAAGAGTGGAGGTCCACAGCTCAGGGCTCCACCACCAAGGTGATACCCATGACTACCAAGGTGGTACCCAAGGAGTATACGACTAGAGTCGTGTCAGGGTCTCCAACTGCAGGTGAAACTTCTACATACAATCAGATCACAACAAAGTTGATCAACTCGACGGAGGTCCGCCTTATATTGACAGAAGAGAAAAATACAATGGAACCAGAAAAAACTACTGAGCCGGCTCAAGGGACAGATGCAGCGCACAACTCGGCAATGTTTTCACCACTTTACACAGGTATCTTCGAGATTACACCGTCTGATGGTGCCACCACTGCACTGGTCTCGACTAAGAGTGAGAATGAGGTCTTCACTGAGGCTGAAATTGTCACAACTCAAGCTGTCACAACTCAAGCTGAGGTTGTAACTACTGATGCTGAAATTGTAACTACTCAAGCTGAAATTGTAACAACTCAAGCTGAAATTGTAACAACTCAAGCTGAAATTGTAACGACTGATGCTGAAATTGTCACTACCCAAGCTGAAATTGTAACGACTGATGCTGAAATTGTCACTACCCAAGCTGAAATTGTAACAACTGATGCTGAAATTGTCACTACCCAAGCTGAAATTGTAACAACTGATGCTGAAATTGTCACAACTCAGGCTGAAATTGTCACAACTCAGGCTGAATTTGTAACAACTCAAGCTGAAATTGTAACGACTGATGCTGAAGTCACTACCCAAGCTGAAATTGTAACAACTGATGCTGAAATTGTAACAACCCAAGTTGTAACAACTCAAGCGGAGTTTGTAACAACTGATGCTGAAATTGTAACAGTAAAGGCCAGCGATTTAAAGTCTGTGAGTGTGAGTGCGAAAGTATCAGAATTTGCTACGAAAAGGCCAGCGTCTGCGTCAGATTCTCCCGACATCTTCAACTCTGCAATGATTTCTCCTCTTTATACAGGTCCCTTCGAAGTTACTCCTTCTAAAGGTCCAGCCACGGAAGTGGTAACGACCGACAATGATGTTGCTACTGAGAAATCTACAACGGAAACTGAAATTGTCACAATAGAAGCTGAAACTGTAGCCACCGAGTCTGAAATTATAATAACTGAAGCTGTAACGACCGAGGCTGAGACTGCTACGACTGAACCTGGAGTAGTGATAACTAAAGCTAGAGTTTTCACAACTGAACTGATAACATCAGAGCCTGATGTAGCTTCTACACCTGATAAAACAGAAGTTGTGGTCCTACCTGGGGATCCTAATGATAACGAGGGTGATCAGGATGATTGGGATGAAGAGGACAATGACGTAGATAGTTCTAAAAGTGGTGAGTACATGATTTTCCCAGCCTTATCCGATTTGAAAAGGATTTATTCTAGATCTGAAAGGGTTCTAACAGTCTTGAAAAAAAAATGATGAGTTGAAATTAGGACAGGAGTTTCCAAATTATATAAGGCAAATAAAAATTCACCTTTATTGAACCATTTTAATTCAGCTGATCCAGAGTACTGTATTGATCACGAGATCTGCTACAATGGCGGGGAGAGCGTCTGCGAGAACGGTGGCGATTTCCTTTACTGCATCTGTCAACATGGGTTTACAGGTATGCAGCGTTATAGTACTACTCTAGCAGCTATAATATGACAAATTCTCTAACTTTCATGCGTATTTGTTTTCCCTATTATAAGACAATGCTAAACTCTTAGAGTACCAAATGTGCACACAGCTATGCAGTGGGAACATTGATCTACCTGTAACGAATAAAAAGTATAAGACTTCAACAACATGTTGCCCTTTACCTTATTTATCGCAGTTCATGTCATTTCTTTCAAACAAAAAAACCTCACCTAAAATTGTCTTGAAGCGTGATATATCACCACATATTGTCACAAGTACGGGCTTTTTCCTGTCTCAAATAATACACTTGTCGTCTGCAATTATTGATTTTATCCTGGCTCCGCATTGTTCACGCTTCTTTAAAATGGCGGCAAATATCTGGTTTGCAGAGATTTACCGATAATAAACTGAAAAGTATCGACAGTGTCAGAATGACAACCCAAATTTAACAATGAATATAAATACTGTCAAAGAACAATGCCTTGTCAATAAATACCAATACTTCTACAATCTATCACAATAATTCTCACCGCCTCCCTGTCCTCCTTGTCAATAAATACCAATACTTCTACAATCTATCACAATAATTCTCACCGCCTCCCTGTCCTCCTTGTCAATAAATACCAATACTTCTACAATCTATCACAATAATTCTCACCGCCTCCCTGTCCTCCTTGTCAATAAATACCAATACTTCTACAATCTATCACAATAATTCTCACCGCCTCCCTGTCCTCCTTGTCAATAAATACCAATACTTCTACAATCTATCACAATAATTCTCACCGCCTCCCTGTCCTCCTTGTCAATAAATACCAATACTTCTACAATCTATCACAATAACTCTCACCGCCTCCCTGTCCTCCTTGTCAATAAATACCAATACTTCTACAATCTATCACAATAACTCTCACCGCCTCCCTGTCCTCCTTGTCAATAAATACCAATACTTCTACAATCTATCACAATAATTCTCACCGCCTCCCTGTCCTCCTTGTCAATAAATACCAATACTTCTACAATCTATCACAATAATTCTCACCGCCTCCCTGTCCTCCTTGTCAATAAATACCAATACTTCTACAATCTATCACAATAATTCTCACCGCCTCCCTGTCCTCCTTGTCAATAAATACCAATACTTCTACAATCTATCACAATAATTCTCACCGCCTCCCTGTCCTCCTTGTCAATAAATACCAATACTTCTACAATCTATCACAATAATTCTCACCGCCTCCCTGTCCTCCTTGTCAATAAATACCAATACTTCTACAATCTATCACAATAATTCTCACCGCCTCCCTGTCCTCAGGAACGTACTGTGAACAAGAAAGGTCCGTTGCTAAAGTAGACGATGTGCCCCGAGGACAAAGCAGTTTCTGGGACTGGAAACTCTCAAAATACATCATTGGGGGTCTGGGGGCCCTGACGGTTATCGGTCTGATCATGCTCACATGCATGGTAGTGGTCAGTAAGGGACTTTTACTTTTTTACCTTTTCGTGCACTTTTTCAAGCAAGTTTTGTGCATGATATTTAGTATTGATAGGTTAGATACTTTGCATGTGTTGGGGTGTGATGAGCGACACGTGTATTCTTGACAAGTCGTGACACTGACAGGAGAAAAGTTTCAATTTTGTAACACTTGATAAGGTTCTTTGAAACAGTATCCCGAAAAGTTATCTCCTTCAATGACATCATATTTTTAGCCCCTGATTCATTTATCTGAAGATTAAATTCCGGAAAATGGGGGAAAACAATCGTCATCAAGATATCATGAAGCTCATTTAGAGCGGGCTAGACACTCGTTCCAGACGTTCCAGACGTTCTGGACGTTTAGTAGTCGACGTCTCAATTTCCTAAAATTACATGAATTTAATTTATGGGTATTTATGTGTCGTTATCTTTGATATAACAGGTACAACAGTAAATTATAGCCGTGGTCGATTCGATTAGTATTACTCTGCAGTGCTTATTGCTTTATTATTAAATTATGAGCCAATAAAAACATAATCGACTCATCATGAGTACCGATAAATTTGCGGAAAATTTTAAAAGTTTGAGCCCTAAATTCTGCGTAATATGGACGCTCATATTAGCAGTAAAAACTTTGTGAGAAATTTTGTCTGATATAATTGTAAACGATTCCAAACGATTCCGATGTTAAGAATCACGGCCCTTTTTCTAACTGACCCCTCCCTCAGAAGTGCGTGAAGTCGGGAAAGGAGGACCGAAGAAGAATGGAGGACTACAATGCGGTGGGGATGGAAACGTTTATACCGCCTGCCCCCGTGGTGCAGACCACCTTGAGGGGTGCCGCCATGGACAGAGGCTCTTCTGATGTAATGGACGAGGTAAGCGCAGCAGCCTCTTTATAGGGCCCGTCAGCAGCCACTTTAGGGCTCGTCAGCAGCCATCTTTACAACCCTTTTGTTGGGTCTTGTCTTTGTTTTACATGTCCCCATCAGACCTAGCCTGGTTTTAAACAGAGTAGACTTTGTTTTTTATGTCATGTCTTCGTCCAGTCATCTTGAAATATCATAGTCCCGGTGGTTGTTATTTTTTTCGCCTTAATTTTTTAAAGTCTCGATAAAGAGTCGAACTTTGTGTCCAGTGCGTTTGTTTATGGATTCTTCCCATTGATTGAATTTGACTTTAAGGTAACAGAGTCTAGTTAAGATTCCATTCCAATGTCCAATCCTAGTAGAATTTTAGTTAAAACTATAAATTTGACTAGTTTTACGTGTCCCATTATTTTACCCGAGCATTCAATCGAATTTCGCCAGGGAAAGAGGCTCGTCTAGCGTCAGCGAAGTGGTATAGTTTATTGATGAATCGCTAACACTTATTCTTTTACCGGCTTCGCTGTCAAATTTTACTGCTTTCTTTCTTCGTTGACACCTCACAACTCCTTTTTCCGCGTCAAGGACCTAATTTCTGTTGACAGTTCATGGCTGATCACACTTTCAACACTCTTCTACTCCATGCTTGCTCTTTGACTCTTCTAATGATCATTAGCAAACATCCGGAAGGGCGGAAGTTTTAAATTTAAAACACAATGCAACATCAGCTAAATTTGGTGATTAACTCTGACTTCCGAGTATACAAGTTCTTGAGCTCCAGGCAGTCTGAGAAATAGAGAATATTGCAGAACACTTGCTATGATTCAGTTTCTCTTGACGCTAATGAGTGAATGTTAGCAACTTTACGCCAACTTAACAAGCCGACTAGTTGAGCTCATGTCTGGCAATTAGCACACCTCTCCCTTTCCCCTGAAGTAGATAAGAGAACTCTACCAATCTAGGGGTGATGAAAATAGGCGTGTGTCCTGAGAGTTATTGGTAAGCATGCGGTGTTGAAAGTCTGATAGACAGTTCTTCTGGTCTAAACTAAACGCTGTTTATCCTTTTATCTCAGCGTAATCTCCACTCATTATATGGCTGCTAATCTGGATTGCTGGTCTGATGGAAAATGGCAGAAACTTCTTTATTGTTTTTTGCATGGTATTGGCTGCTAAACAGAAATTTGATGCGTCATATTTTTCATGCGAAGCATAAATTACCAACGTTTCAGAATGGAAAGCTTAAAAATTCTGTAATTCTTAAAAAGGAGATAATGTGTCGCTTGAAGTTGAGAAAGATAAGAAAAATTCCATTTCATATTTTACGCTGAAAACTCGATAATAATTTTAAACCCATAAGCGTTGTTGGTACTCTCGAATTTCTTCCAGAGTATACGACACTAATGAAAACACGAAAATTAATATCCACTTGTCAAATAAATCATGCTGTTAAACTTAAATGAGTTACAAGATAAAACACACATATTACGGTTTTCAAACCTGCAACTACCTTCTCCAATTTCACCACTTTCTGCCAACTTTCAACTCATCTAATTCAAACCCCTCCTCTCCCCAGAGAAGTGAAGAGGAGTTCCACCTGCACGAGTCTGACGATGAGTTGGGTGACAGCCCGGTTCAGATTCACCGGCTCCACAACTTCCCGGACCCGGAGGACGACGGACTCCTGCACCACGCTCCTACTCACCGACCCGGTCCCTCCCCAGACCACTACAAAGTTCCCACTCAAAACAGGGAGTACATGAACATGAACAAACAGAAAGGCAACTTCAGTCCCTACATGAACGGACATAACGGCGACAAAATTGGCCCCTACATGAACGGGACGGCGAACACGTACAGTCACAAGTTAAACGACAAAAATAAGGACCAGTATGCTCACCTGAACCGGAGCTATTCCAAAAACGCCCAACCTCAACATAACTATCTCAATCTTCCCTGAGGGAAATGTACAGGTTTCCACGAACCATGTTGATCCACCCGATATAGCAGTCAAAGCAAAATGGAAATGAACGGCGAAAGTTTCAGATAGACATAACAGATAGGATACTCATGGGCAGACATACTGGTACATTAACATACTGGTACATACTGGGTATGATTGAAAAAAGATAGCATAACGTGTTGAGCAATGATCACATTTAAATTTTTAGTTTTTAGTTGAAAGTTGGCTTTGTAATGATTATTTGGTAGTATTTTGGCAATTCTAAGGGAGAAGGTTTGGATGATCTTAAAATTCAACCATTACTCCCTTCAAGAGCTGGCACTCATCTCATCCAATTAAAAGGTTGTATTAGAACTGTAAGCCAATCAAAAATGAGTATACATGCACTGCACACGGGCAACTGGTATACATTCAAGGAGACTTTTTCCTTTCAGGTATATGTCTGCATAGTGCAGTTTCAATGGTTGCTGGTGATTGATTATGTATAGTATATGTTTTTTATACTGATATAGCTTTATCTAGATAACGTTTTTTTGTTGAATTGAATTCAGTTTTCTTGAAAACGTGAAGATTTTAACCTTTCTGATATAATGAAGATATTGAGTGCTTTTAGCTTCTTACCAAATTAAACTGAAAAATTACTTTTATAAGCTTGTATTGTATTGGCAATATTTGAATGTTCTGCATCGTTATGCGACTTTTTACATTCTTATACCGAATCTTTTATAGATTTTTTGTAATTCGACCGAATTCTAGAAAGATCCGAATTATTTCACTTGTTTACTTTAACAAACAGTCCCCTGTAATCCAGCCGTCATCACGTTTGTTTAAACACACTCCATCTCCCTTAGTATCTGTCACATGACCTGGAAAAGTGGCAGCTACACCTTGATATGCTGAGCAACGTGCTTAAACCTGTTTGGTCACATGTTAACTGTTACTAGCAACATTAGGTTAGCTCACTCATTTCGTTGTAATTGGTTGTATCATAAATCATAATTATGTACGTAATATAAGCATACGGCAAAGAACCTTGGTCACCGGGCGTCGCTAGACCAGGGACAAGGGTTGTCATGACAACGCAGCAGGGGTTGTCAAGGGTTGTCAACAGAAAGACCGATGACCAAAGGGGGATTTTTAAAATCACCAGGTTAGGCCAGGAATCTGTTGCATGAATAGTAGTGGTGGTAGGTACCAAACCAGGTGGCAAGCTGTTCTTTGACATATGGTACCACGACAAAGTATGATTATTAAACTGCATCTTTTATGTTTTATTTTGAAGTTTAATAAAGGAAATTGAAAATTCGCGAATAAAATGTGTTTAAGTAATTTTTAAGTCAACTAGATTTAATAACATTAGTGCAGTCGCGATGTGAAGTCATTTTTTGATTTCATGCTTTTTCCTGATTTTTCCCGTCATCATATCAACATGTTACGGTTTTAAAACTTATATTTTTAATTGATTTCATCATTTTGGTACAGCGGATATAAAAACAGATTCAAGTAAAATGTTGTATATTTTTATTCATATACAGATCAAGACGCAAGATACATAATAATATATACTATTTTTATTTCAAACCAGCAACAGCATAAAAATACAAAATTGACCAAAAAGTGACCTTTAGATGTAAACAAATTTTTATATAGCCATTTGCGTAACGTTGTATATTGGCGCCCCCTCCCGGCCTCCCCCCCTCTATTATTAATAAGCTAATTCGTTCCCTCACCTAGTAACGTTTTTCATACTGATAACTGAATCAATAATATTTTAAAATCTTAGTAGTAACGTTTTTCGTTCTCTTGGGTAAATTTCTATTGATCCCGTTTGCATGTTTGGTGCGACAAGGAAAAAAGCTCTTATCAGGAAAGACATTATTCAATGTTCGAATGTGACAACATCGTATTTATGATCTCAATAAATGTATTTGATTGTAGTTGTAAAAATAGTTTTATAAGTTTGTCGGCAACAGGGTCTTAAGTGCAGACAGGAACATCACAGAAATCCCACCGAACAGTCGGCTCAGTCGTATAACACCAGGGCTGAGGATCTCCGGTGGGGTTCCTACAGAAGTTGTGTTTGCCAATCCCCTTTCCTGGGTTGAGATATATGTTGTGGGCGTGGGGGGACTGTTCATCCCAACGTTGACACTCATAACCGGACTGAGTGGTATTTGCGGAGCCCCGATATTCCGCTCCTAGGTCCTCATCTCTCATGCAACTATAACTATACATAAGGGAATAGTCCTCAAGAACACCCTTAAGTGCCCCAAGTGCCTCAAGTGTCTCGAGTGCCTCGAGTGCCTCAAGTGTCTCAAGTGCCTCAAGTGCCTCAAGTGTCTCAAGTGCCTCAAGAATCATATCAGTACACTGGCGGACAGCACAAACTGTTTTTTTATTTGTTGAGCTACGACACCAAGCCCCTGGCATGTGGTCATCATGTGGAGAATTACCACATCTGTTTGCGTGGTAGGTGATGGTTCTTTTCTCGTTCAGGTCTTCGTTACACACCGGGACATCACAGAAGTCCCACTGGGTCGACTGGTCGGGGTGAGTGATGTAGCACCACGGCCTGGCTTCTAGCCCACTAGGATTCCTGCAGTGGTTGTGTTCTCCCAGACCATGATAAGGATGAGGGCTAGGGTATTGTTTGCTCCACTCCTGGCATTGGAACCCACCTTCAGTAATGGAGACATTTCCAATGTAGCTAACTCCATTTCCCTCCAAACAGTTGAGAGTAGTGGTTGTTTTTTCCAAGCTCAAGTCACAGACTAGCCCATCCACCGTTTTCATCACATCCCCCTTGTACAAGTAGCCTGCCCCCTGTTGACATTCGTAATCGTATTCATCAGGACACTTCCCAATGTTACTACAGAAATCATATCTGTGATCAGGATCCGTTGTGTAACACCAAGGTGACGCCTCTAAATCGGGATTTCTGCAGAAATTATGGTCGCCCAAACCACTGTTGGGGTAGTTGTATGAAGTCCGACTGTGGTAGTGTGGGAGTTGATGGGACCAGCTTTGACACGTGTATCCTCCAGCTGTGATGTTAATGTTGCCACGGTAGTCAGCCCCATCACCTAGGTAACATGTTTTGTGGGGGACAATCTCCTTAAGTGCCCCAAGTGTCTCAAGTGCCTCAAGTGCCTCAAGTGTCTCAAGTGCCTCAAGAATCATATCATAACACTGGCGGACAGCGCAAACTGTTTTTTTATTTGTTGAGCTACGACACCAAGCCCCTGGCATGTGATCATCATGTGGAGAATTACCACATCTGTTTGCGTGGTAGGTGATGGTTCGTTCCTCTTTCAGGTCTTCGTTACACACCGGAACATCACAGAAGTCCCACTGGGTCGACCGGTCGGGGTGAGTGATGTAGCACCACGGCCTGGCTTCTAGCCCACTAGGATTCCTGCAGTGGTTGTGTTCTCCCAGACTGTGATAAGGATGAGTGCTAGGGTATTGTTTGCTCCACTCCTGGCATTGGAACCCACCTTCAGTAATGGAGACATTTCCAATGTAGCTAACTCCATTTCCCTCCAAACAGTTGAGAGTAGTGGTTGTTTTTTGCAAGCTCAAGTCACAGACTAGCCCATCCACCGTTTTCATCACATCCCCCTTGTACAAGTAGCCTGCCCCCTGTTGACATTCGTAATCGTATTCATCAGGACACTTCCCAATGTTACTACAGAAATCATATCTGTGATCAGGATCCGTTGTGTAACACCAAGGTGACGCCTCTAAATCGGGATTTCTGCAGAAATTATGGTCGCCCAAACCACTGTTGGGGTAGTTGTATGAAGTCCGACTGTGGTAGTGTGGGAGTTGATGGGACCAGCTTTGACACGTGTATCCTCCAGCTGTGATGTTAACGTTGCCACGGTAGTCAGCCCCATCACCTAGGTAACATGTTTTGTGGGGGACAATCTCCTTAAGTGCCCCAAGTGTCTCAAGTGCCTCAAGTGCCTCAAGTGCCTCAAGTGCCTCAAGAATCATATCAGTACACTGGCGGACAGCGCAAACTGTTTTTTTATTTGTTGAGCTACGACACCAAGCCCCTGGCATGTGGTCATCATGTGGAGAATTACCACATCTGTTTGCGTGGTAGGTGATGGTTCGTTCCTCTTTCAGGTCTTCGTTACACACCGGAACATCACAGAAGTCCCACTGGGTCGACCGGTCGGGGTGAGTGATGTAGCACCACGGCCTGGCTTCTAGCCCACTAGGATTCCTGCAGTGGTTGTGTTCTCCCAGACTGTGATAAGGATGAGTGCTAGGGTATTGTTTGCTCCACTCCTGGCATTGGAACCCACCTTCAGTAATGGAGACATTTCCAATGTAGCTAACTCCATTTCCCTCCAAACAGTTGAGAGTAGTGGTTGTTTTTTCCAAGCTCAAGTCACAGACTAGCCCATCCACCGTTTTCATCACATCCCCCTTGTACAAGTAGCCTGCCCCCTGTTGACATTCGTAATCGTATTCATCAGGACACTTCCCAATGTTACTACAGAAATCATATCTGTGATCAGGATCCGTTGTGTAACACCAAGGTGACGCCTCTAAATCGGGATTTCTGCAGAAATTATGGTCGCCCAAACCACTGTTGGGGTAGTTGTATGAAGTCCGACTGTGGTAGTGTGGGAGTTGATGGGACCAGCTTTGACACGTGTATCCTCCAGCTGTGATGTTAATGTTGCCACGGTAGTCAGCCCCATCACCTAGGTAACATGTTTTGTGGGGGACAATCTCCTTAAGTGCCCCAAGTGTCTCAAGTGCCTCAAGTGCCTCAAGTGCCTCAAGTGCCTCAAGAATCATATCAGTACACTGGCGGACAGCGCAAACTGTTTTTTTATTTGTTGAGCTACGACACCAAGCCCCTGGCATGTGGTCATCATGTGGAGAATTACCACATCTGTTTGCGTGGTAGGTGATGGTTCGTTCCTCTTTCAGGTCTTCGTTACACACCGGAACATCACAGAAGTCCCACTGGGTCGACCGGTCGGGGTGAGTGATGTAGCACCACGGCCTGGCTTCTAGCCCACTAGGATTCCTGCAGTGGTTGTGTTCTCCCAGACCGTGATAAGTATGAGGGCTAGGGTATTGTTTGCTCCACTCCTGGCATTGGAACCCACCTTCAGTAATGGAGACATTTCCAATGTAGCTAACTCCATTTCCCTCCAAACAGTTGAGAGTAGTGGTTGTTTTTTCCAAGCTCAAGTCACAGACTAGCCCATCCACCGTTTTCATCACATCCCCCTTGTACAAGTAGCCTGCCCCCTGTTGACATTCGTAATCATATTCATCAGGACACTTCCCAATGTTACTACAGAAATCATATCTGTGATCAGGATCCGTTGTGTAACACCATGGTGACGCCTCTAAATCAGGATTTCTGCAGAAATTATGGTCGCCCAAACCACTGTTGGGGTAGTTGTATGAAGTCCGACTGTGGTAGTGTGGGAGTTGATGGGACCAGCTTTGACACGTGTATCCTCCAGCTGTGATGTTAACGTTGCCACGGTAGTCAGCCCCATCACCTAGGTAACATGTTTTGTGGGGGACAATCTCCTTAAGTGCCCCAAGTGTGTCAAGTGCCTCAAGTGTCTCAAGTGTTTTGTGGGGGACGATCTCCTCAGGGAGTGTGCGGGACTCTACCTCCGGATACTCATCACATTCACATTGCAGTTTATTAAACTTCTTTTCGACCTTCGTACATTTCTTGATCCTTTTTCTGGTTGATGGTGGTAGCCCAACCAAATTGATATCAACTGGTGGAAAACAGTAAACAAATTCCGATTCGTATCCATATTTTTGCACACATTTAGAAAGATTTTTAAAAAGATTTTTGCAGTTGACTTTGAGTTTGTTTCTGCGATTTGAACGTTTGGCCAGAAGTGTTTGTAAGCACAAAAGAATGAACAACGTTAATCTCATATCAACAACTATATAACGGATTTCGTGTTGAAATTGATGAAATAAGTTTATGTTCCCCCAAGCTAAATTCACAATTTCCTTTTAATCAGCAAGGTTGTCGGTAACGAGTGGCATGAAATTCAATAATGCTTGTGAAAAATCTTTTCTGAGAATATAGTTTGTTCCTATGGTAACACAATTGTAATGGACCTCCCCAGTGGCTTTCAGACTGCATGTAGGGATTATATATTTAAGTAACATCAACCTGTGCACTATTTGCAGTTTTTCATCCAAATCAAAAACCTGCCTACCAGTGCTTTGGTAGGTACGAATTTGGTTAAGGACGTCTAATTCGTGAACTACGTCTATGTTCAGTTAAAACCTGGCTTCTAAATAATTCGTTAAATAGTTCCATCATGGTTAGGACTAAATATTTTGCTGCTGAATGGCTTGATTCACTAGCTAGAAATGTTTCAAATCCACATTCCACACGCTGTTAAGTTTTGACCAATTCTGATGCGGTGAAAGATGTGTGGAATGAATATAGTGTTTGGTGTCAGCTACAATCAGTATAGTTCTGAAATTAGTGCTGCAGCAGCACATAAGTCTAGTATGAGAGACAAAAATAGAATTAAGACACTGAAACAAATCGTTCCATACTGTGTTTTCACCGCATTGCTTAGTTATGCGGAGTTGAAACAATATGCTATTAAGCTATTACCCCTGGTACCGTCATATAGCGAATAATTAACTTAATTAATTATTGTTTTGTAAAGTATCAAAAATATACAGCGACAGCGCCACTGGCATACATAGAGGCCGAAGAATTATGAGGACTACCAGATCCTTGTGGAACCTAAGCGATCCATGATATCACGACAGGCCCTAGGGGGGGGGGGGGGGGGGGGTACAGGCCGTACAGCGCCGGGCTGAAATTGTGCTCCTAAGCGCAATTTCAGCGTGAGGAGTGCAATTTTAAACAATCATAATTAAACTGTACGAGTGTACGTAGTAGTAGTAGATATATTCTTAAAATAAAAGCTGTAGCTCATCTGGTACGGGGTTACGAGTAAACTGGAATAAACGTCTCAATAATTTCAGTTTGTTCCTCCTTTTCTTCACTCTCCTCCCTCCGCAAACCTCCTCCCACCAACCAGTGTGCTCTAACGGTGCACTCAGGTACTCTGGGAGGCACAACTTCTACTGTGAGTGTTACCCTGGTTGGGGTGGACTCCGTTGCGATAAAAGTAAGGGTTTACTTGCTAATACTTATTTGTAAAATTCATTGGCTTCCTTTTTAAACTTTTCATACTAAAAATGACTCGAACAAACATTTGAAACATTAAAAATCTGAATGATGACTTAGGCATTAAAAAAAATCTTTTCCAGAACAGTGGCACCACCATGAAGTAGGACAGCTTGTCCAAGTAAGTTTTCAATATGATCCACCCTCAAATACATTCGATCTTTTGATAACGTTTTTCTACTTTATATTATTAGTAAATAACCAACAGACTGCCAGTCTTTGTTTCTTACAATTTAAATGATATAGCTCAATGTTAAACCATTTTGCAGCAAGACGATAAACCCAATGGTGGCTCCTTCAGTTACCACCCAGGTTATGAGCAACAGTCTCTCCAACCCTCCAACCAGAACCACGTCTACCAAGACCCATCTCCTCAGGATCCTTGGTACCACCAACATGGCTCTCCGAAGCAAGTGTTCCATCATCATGTTTATCATAGCCCCTCCTACCATCACCAAATCTACCATCACCATGGGTACCAGAACCATGGTTACCAAAACCATGTTTACCACCATCATGGTTACCATCAATATGGTAACCATCCGCAGCAGCCAGCAACTTACTTGCATGAGGATCATAGGACGATTAACCAACAGATTCCTCCTACCCAGTACCAGACTGTCTACATTCAGCACCAAAATCCCAGCTACCAGCACCCTTATCTAGCTACCGGTCATCCTCATCCAACAGCCCATCATCTGCAACCTAATCAGCACATGGGACCTCTCTATGTGTATCAGCATCAACTCCATCAACAAAACAACGTTCCTATAAGAGGGTACCAGCTGATATACAGTTCCTACTTTGGTCAGGGTGGTTGTGTATTTGATTGGGAGATAAGGCGGATGTGCATAAACTTTAACGTCGTGAAATGCTGGAAGCCAATTCAATTGCTTTACCCGATGTATACCCATATAGCCCGATGGAGATACCTCAAAGCTTCCGTGTCAGTCTCGGAGTTGAAGCTTATCCGGAAGAAAAGAAAGATGGTAAAGAAATTTAAAGATACAAAAGAGTATGTTTACCTCAAGCCCCACTACGATCCCATCCTCTGCTCCGTGAACATAAAGGTACAGCCCTCAGATTGTCGACATGAGATAATATCCAGAGAAAATGATCTAGTCAGCGCTCTGACAGCTAAGGATAAAGCTGAAAGAGATATCTCCACATCTACATTTTACTACGCCTTTCTCCACACACCAGGCTCCATATGTGCTCTGTCAACTTCCTACACCCAAGAGCAGGTTTATCAGTTCTCAACTGATATTATCAGTAAGATCATCTACATGAAGATAGCAGCAGCTGCTGTACAGAGGAGACGTCTTGGAGCCACTTCTGTGATTAGAAAAGAACCTCCTTTATTCCCAGTAGGTTCGTGGAAAACAGAGAAAAAGAAGGAGATAGATACTTACTCTGTAGTGACCTACCTGGAGACAGAACGGTACTACAAGGAGCAGAGGGAGATAAATTCCAAACCCAGAGTTCAATCTGAAAATGAGGGTCTATACGGACTGAAGAGGCATGAAACACTGTCCTTCACTCGACGTGTTATAGCTTATCCTCACTCTTCAAGGAAACTTCTCGTCGTTGAACACATGAAGCAATCTACAATCATTCTGAACCCTAACATGTCTAAAAACACCTTGTCGCTCCGTTTGTACACTAAGAACCCTCAGACTTCAACATTGGTAATCGTAGGACACTCTTACTATCTCATCACTGACCTCTACGGCTTTGCATTTAGGGAGTTTTCTAATCGGATATCTTTGGGGCAGAGACCATACAGGCGTATTGGGATTGAGAAGAATTGTCGAGGTTCTAAGTTAAAAATGGTACCGTATTCTTACTTTACTGAGACAAAACACCAACACTCATTCCTCGATCACGATCCTCAGTGTGAAACTATCTATACAAGTCGTGAGGTCCCGAACACCTTCTACCCCTACAACTGGTTCCAGCTCAGGGTTTCGAAGCCTCCAGGTTCACTTCTATTTGTAATCAGAGTACATTATATGAGGGTAGTCAGTCAGGTAGTGGCAGATAAACCTATGGTGATTGAAATAGATGCTTTGTTTGAAGTGAAACAGGTGCCATCAATGTCCTCCTATCAGAAAATAACCCATAATGTTTTCCAAAGATTTGACCGTGATCGGTATCAACTGATGGTTCAACCCAATACTGCCAAGTCACTTTCTTACATCGTTCCAAAAATGCCAACAAAATATGTCAATCCCAATAACAAGGTAGTACTTTACAGAAACACACAACTTTTCATTCAGCCCAAGCCTCATAAAGTGCTTTATCTGGTTGTGAAGATTTGGCGTGTACCAGCGGTGGGTTCTCTCGACGTTATCATGATCAAGAACCCAACGTCTACCGTCATTATTGAGGAAAACACTGTGCTCCGCAAATTTGATACTGTACAAAATATCGTCTCTGCGCTGGAGATCAAATTCAGGCGACGCAGAAAAACTACTGAACGAGTTTCAGCAAAATACATTGAGCGTCGTCCAGGAGTTCTTATGATGCTTGGTACAGGTATCGACAAAACACTCTTGTTACCGAGGTCAAGAGTGAATGTAGCAGACTACAAGAAACGGCTGACTAGTTTCCATCTGCGCAACTATCCTCTGGTAACATCATTATTTCTGTTACACCAGAATTCCAAGTATCCCACCACTTCAGTTGACTATCTACCATCGCACAGCTTCAAATCTACTTCAGTCCTTCTTATTCCAGAGAAAATACAAGTTTTGTACCTGAGAAAGGAAAGATTTAGAAACTGTTTGGTTAAGATTTTAGGATGCCAGCATCGAGCCAAGGAGTTACAACAATTTGTGAAAAACAAGAAGAATGAGCATGATACAGACAGCTTCATAGAGTTCTTAACTAAAAGGGATTTACATTTAAGTCTGTATAAGTACAGGAATCAAAGGTCGTCCGCTACGTCATTATCCATTTCAGACGGAATCAGGGAGTGTCGAAAGATCGAAGTTATCAAAGTGGAAAAGATAAGAGTAGCAAGTTCTGTGTTCTCAATGAACCCCAGTGTGCTCTCCACCGACAAGTCTGTTATAAAATCTCAGCTGCCCTACCGCTTCACCCTCTTTACTCTATATCAGTGCAGAGCTAAGTCTTACTCGACAATCTTTGTTTTGAAACCAATAGTATTGAATACTGTTGCAAACACCATGGAAAATCCAAAACTTGTTGGTATTCTCTCAGCAGTCCGGTTATGGTCTGCAGTGTCTAGATTTAGAAGGTACTTTGTTCCAGCGTTACCTCTCAAGGAGTATTTGCTTTTGTGATTCAAAAGGCAGTGTTGATGCACCCTCACGGCTTCGAGATAAACAGACTTGTTATCATCAAAGACAAGTATCTTCGATATAAAATCATCAGCAGCTACAGGACCACAGTCAACCGTTTTCAACCATGGATGTCGACAAGTCAAACTGGAACTGTTACCATCATCAAGCTAAAGACTGAATCGCTCCTGTCAGTTAACTCTAATTCTGTGAGTTTCATTAAATCACACGAGTACACTCCTTTAAGCACTGACTTCGTGCTTAAAATCAGTCTCCCAAGAGTTCGGAAGGGTTTCCGTCTGCTGAACAGAAGGAAACTTGAGCTCTTGTCTTATCATATGAAAAATGAAATATCTTCAATAATCCCAACTTCACACAACGTCTTGGCACAAGTTCACTCGAAACAAGCTGCTATAGCTGTTCTTTTACCACGGGGACATGGGGTGGTGTTCTTGCACATCAGGGAACACAATAAGATAACAACCTTATCTGAGGTAATCACAAATACCGTTAAAATGGAACAAAATCTAAAGGTTGAACCACTGTTTCGGATCTTTTTTCCTCATCAAAAGCTTAAGTTTAATGAACTTAAAACAGAACACGTGGTTGAGAAGATAACCTACTGCTCTGGGGACCTCATTAAATTTTGGGATCCTGAATCTAACTCTATGTCTCAAAAAGAGATCCCCAAAACTTTACCACCCTGTAGTCTAGCCCGGATCTCACTTCATACTCCCAAATGGTATATGAAGAGCATCACACGTGAGAAAGTTTATAAACCTGACATCCACAAAACCACAGTGATGTCAAAAAGGAAAACTGACCTTCCATCCAATGTATTCATCGAGCCTTATGAAATTTCCAAGCTGCAGGCAAGAACCCGAAATATTCTTGGGCATTCCCAGACAACATTGAACACACGTTTGATATCAAAGACAATAAGTTTCAAGAAAGCATCGCTCCAACGGTATCTGTACAAAAGAAGGTCGGTTCATGTGAAGACAGTACTTAAAAAAGCAGTAGTGTCCCTGATAACTACGTCGCCTGAATCACCATTCCAACTAATATCTCATCTTAGCAACCTGAATGATAAACATACCAGATGTTTAAGCTCAGTTACTGAGAGCAGAAGAAGATTAAACACGAACGGGTTTTTAGATCCACGATCGATGGTCTTCCTTGAAGGAACCACGAAAGTTTTGGATGGCCATAGTTATAATACAGGTGCAGTCAAAAATGGCATGGGTGCTTCCAGTATAAGATCTTTCAAAACAGTTTTACCATCGAGCACAAATGATACATTACTGTTATTCCATAAACACCGACCTAAGATGTACCGTCTGGTTTTGGAAACCACACATGCCAGTGCCATCACTGAATCATCAAATAAGGCATTATCTATTGGTAAAAAGATATCATCCATTGAAGTCGGGATGTGGTATGATTCTTTCAGATGCACCAATTGCAGATTATGCGGTCCAAATAACTTGAAAGATAAGATAACAGGAAAACCTTTCCATCTGTCAAGAGTTACTGCTTACAATTTCTGTCCGGGCAAGAAGGACCAATCGAGGCTAGAAAAACGACAAGACATGATGTTGAATCATAAGTACTGTATCCATGGTCTCCAAGGTCCATACTATTGGATAATGCCCTTCACCAACTTCTTCATAGTCTGGGGTTATGATACTTTTAGAAATGCTCCTAACTTCATTACGTTTTACAACTTCTACAACCAGTTCATCTACCAATACACATATCCGGATTTATCTTATAACCATGACCTCTCCCTCAATGTTCTCTATCCAAGACCAGGTAGTATTCCGTACGGAAACCTGAAGTTCGACTACAGGTATCCTATCACGTTCTGGTTGTGCTGCAATTCTAACAATCTGAGAATAAGATTTGACATGGTGGCTGGAATAACACTCACACAGACATTTGTTTCTTCGTACTCCATCAGGTTATACGGACAGTCAAACGCACAAATGATACGTTTCAGATTCGCGTTCGGTGCCGTGGGGTCATATCGTAATATATATGATAAGTCTGCTAAATTTATTTTGAGGCCGGTCCCTAAGTTCATTTCATTGACTAACTGGATGAAAGGCATCAGATTCTTTGGATTTGCTTCAAGTCAAATGCCTAACATATCAAGTCTAATGGTAATCATGAGAATAGAA